GGAATGGAACCACCATTTGACCCAGGTATTCCACTTCTTGGACTATTCCCTAAAGACCTTAAAAGAGCGTATTATAGGGATACTGCTACAAGGATGTTCATAGCAGCACAATTCACAATAGCTAGACTGTGGAACCAACCTAGATGCCCTTCAATAGATGAATGGATTAAAAATGTGGCATTTACACACAATGGAGTATCACTCTGCACTAAAAAATGACAAAATTATGGAATTTGCAGGGAAATGGATGGCACTAGAGCAGATTATGCTAAGTGAAGCCTGCCAATCCCTAAAAAACAAATGCCAAATATCATCTTTGATATAAGGAGAGCAACTAAGAACAGAATAGGGAGGAAGATCATGAGTAAAAGATCACCATTAAACAGGGACAAGAGGGGTTAGGGGAAGAGAGAGAGAATGGAAATTGCATGGTAAAGGAAGGAGACCCTCATTTTTATACAAAATTACATATAAGAGGAAGTCTGGTGAAAGGGGTAAAAAACAAGAGAGAGAAATTAAATATGGTAAATGGGGTAGGGAGAGAAGAGGGGAGTGGAGGGAAGGGAGGGGAGGGGGGATAGTAGAAATAGGAAAGGCAGCAGAATACCACATACACTAGTAAGGCAGTATGTAAAAAAGTGGATGTGTAACCGATGTGAATCTGCAATATGTATACGGGGTAAAAATGGGAGTTCATAATCTGTTTGAATCAAATGTATGAAATATGATATGTCAACAGCTTTGTAATGTTTTGAACAACTAATAAAAAAAGAAAAAATAAATTAAAAAAATAAAAATATTGAAGGAAAATATGTAAGGAAAATGTATAGAGGACCAGGTGAATAAAACAAGGAAGAAATAAAGGCTAATAAAAAAGAAAGTTATCGAATTGGTCACCACTGGAAGAAACTGCTATTCTCTCTCAACAGCTCTTTCAGAAATGTCTTATACAATGTTTTCAGAATGAAATCCTTAGGAAAAAAAATGGAAAAACATTTTTAACTGGCTCCCATCCTTATGAATCTCAATACCCTTCCAATTCTGGGGAGAACATGATTGTGCATATGTAATGTGTCAGATGAATCCTTGTTGGGCCTCACATTACACAGCTGCAAAGACATAAAGCACCTGTCCAGGAGAGAATCCCCCCAATGATAGCTGCACAAAGCTGCAAACATGAAGCAAACAGAAACCTAAAATTTTGTACAAGAAGTTTTCAATACACATGAAAATCTCTGCTCAGGGTGTGACATGTCTGACTGTTCTGATTCAGGTGCTTGAGTATCACCATCTATCCTAGCTGGTGACCTATGCTGGGTTCACAAATCTGTTCCGATAAAATGGCAAAGAAAGCATGCAAACACACAGAAGTACCTTTTCAAAATCAGAGAGGGCTCTTTGACCTTAGGGGTCCTTGGAAAGAGAGAGAGACACTGGAATTCTTTATTCTTATACAGGGGTCACACAGTGGGAGGTTCCATGGAACATTCTATCCCACAAAGGGCAAAGGGGTAAGATTACAAAGGAACATCTCAGTGTAACTCAACCCCACTGGGTGATGCCCACTCCTGGAGCCACACCTCATTATCCGAGCAGGGATAAAAGTCCAATGTATTGTGGGGTGCAATAACTGCTCAATACCTCTTATTTAGGACTTAAATGTGTGTACTGACCAGAGAGGCTCCAGACATTTGAGTCAGGAATATATGGAATATATTTGCTTTGGCAACTAGAGATGGCCCCCAAAGACACTTTGCATTTAGATTTATTGCCTATAAATAGATTTCAAGCAATTCAACTGGTCATTAATTTTATACAAAGGATGAATAAGTTGAAGTAAGGCTCTACAAAAAGTGTTCAGCAGTGGTAAAGGGTTTTTCTGTTTTTGGCTTACAAGGATCAGGAGTGGATGATCAGTAATAAGGAGGTGAGTGCACAGGAGTGGGTTCATTAACATTCAGATGTTAATTTCTTAGGTCAATGATGAATAGACAGTATACCCTTTAGGGAGACAATGAACCATCTGGTGGTTATCTTAGATTATGACCCAGGTTTGTCCTCACTTACCCAGCGATGTTATAGAGTAGACATGGTAGCTGTAATGGAATCTTTGCATTTACCTACCAGCCTGTGATCTCTCTCAACAAAGTTCATCTCACCATATATTTAATGTTGGACTTAAGGCAACAATGATTGACATTGATGTTTTTACATGATCCCATTCTTCAATGAGATCAATCAGCCATTAGAAAGCAAGATGATCACAAGGATCCCTTTGCACCCTGAAGATGGCAGCAATTTTTTTTAATTGAGGTTGATATGAATCCTGGTTATGTTTGGCCTCCTTTGCTTAGAGAATTAGGGGAGCACCTATTCTATTCAAGGATTTGTAGTGTCTGGTCTACTGTTAAGTAACCTGTTACATATCATCTTAAATCTAAGTTTTTGATAAAAAGAGATAAAACAATGTGAATGTAGTTATACGATCTACTACTTACATCACTGAGAAATTGCTAGCTTAACAGAACAGTTCAATGTCCACTTAGTGATGTAGCTAAGGCACACTGGGTGATTGTTCATTGTCATTCAAGATATAATATATAATGGAAGAACTAACAGCCATTGCATGCTGGCTAGAATATATATGCCTGAGAACTGAGGGATTAAATAAAAATGTTCTTCATCAACTCAATTATGAATTTCTGATCCATTGCCCATATCCTATGTTTCTGTTGAACTAGAAGGATGATTCTCAGGGTGGGGTTAGGCAGTATTTCTCCAAAGGGTCATAATAAGGTTCCACTACATTTAAACCTACAGCTGTAATGCAAAAGCTCTCGTACTGTACACTTACCATTGGACCATCCAGCAAACAATGAACAAAATTGCTTTACTGGCAGGCTTAACTGACCATGATTTATGTGAGGAGATAGTACATGATGGAAGGAGGAAAGGTTCACAAAGATTCATTGGGAGTCTCTTGTGTTATGTCTGTGGTCTATTCAAATGTACTGGGTAGTGAACACAGCCTAACTGGAATACAGAAACAGATTTTTTGATCCCTTGGAAGTATGTAAGAAGAACTGCTGGCTAAGCATGAGCCCTCTAGAATGGGTAGAAGAGGGAAAAGATTTTAAATATCAATTTTGATGATAAAATCAATGGCAGTTAGGAGGGCTATAGCTTAGACTTTCCTTATTGTGGGTGCATTTAAAAAATAAATTATGACTAGCAAACCATTTCAAAAAGTCTTAAAGTAAAGGAGTGGATTTTCTGTGAGATATGAGTGGATCTGGGCAAATAGAAAAGAGCCTTCACAGGTGTTGTGGGTGTCCCACCCAACTCCCCTTGGTACTTACCCTTTCTGTGCATTCCAATGGCATCTTACAGCAAACATCAGAGACCCCCTATCTGAGTATTTGCTCTCAAGGCATACGTGGCAAGGCCAGTAATGCTAGGTAGTCATTGTCCCCAGGAGCAGTCGCCATCCAGATATGTAAAAAAGTTGGAGGAAAAAGCCCCTATTCTAAGGGGCACAATTCCAACACAGATTTTACCTTGTTTCCCAGAGTTAGCTCAAGGGTCTGAGTCCTGGTTTACACAAAAAGAACCACTGGCTCTCTCCTCATTCCTTGGCTTTATTCCCTTCCAGTTTTCATTCCCTATCTCCTACTGTGCTTTGTAGGATCACCTTAGTAAATATCTCAATCTCAAATCTGAGACTCAGGAACAGAACCTCTGGAAACACAGCCTAAGAACCCCTGTGTTTATTCTAAATTACAGACAAAACCAATGGTCTTATAGGATTGTTGTCAGAATAAAAAGAGACCTACTTATTAAAAAGCAGTAATGATACTGGTGACAAGTATGAGGATATACACCACAAACCAGAAAGACTCCAGGAAGTGCTTGGGTTTGAACCTTAAGATCTGTTTATCAGTAGATCTGTGATTTCGAGCAAGTTACTAAACCTTTCAGGGCCCTAGTTCTTTTAAATTGGGAGCAAAGTTTTATTGGGAGAGTTAAGACAGGGTATTTCCCATAAACTAGTGAACACTGTGCAGGGAGTTATAGCAAATGCTTAGTAAATGACTTCCTTGCCAGAAGTCATTGTGTATTAAGTGCCAACACCCTTGTTTTTTCCTGTAAATTGAAGTTCTCAGCTACTGAAACTACTATAAAAACAACAGACTAACTACTACATGAGTGCATTTAACATTTCAGTAAGCCAGACCTCCAAAAGTATGTTCTTCCCAACTGGAGATAAATATTATCATATCTCAAGCTAGGTCAAATAACACACCCTTGAAAAACTCCCAAAAGCTCCCAAAATTCTCCTTCCATAACACTATGCAATTTCTTGGAAATCAGGTCAAGTATATCCAAATCTTCCACCAGAGGACATTCAGAATATCCACTTTGCAACTACCTAGTCACTGAATTTACTCTGTGGTTTCACTTTCCTGTAGAGAAGTTTTGTAAATTCCTTCTGAATTTTGATGTGCTTATATTTCATATTCAAGTTGTCTGATGGGAGGTGAGAGCTGGGGATGAAAGAAAATCCCCAGGATTGGGGGAAGATGCTCATCAGAACTCATCACAGCTAAAATAAAGGACAATTGTTAGGACTAACCCTTACCAATCCCTCCTGGAAGCAGCTTTTCTGCCATGTCTAAAAGATCTCTGCTCCAGATTTCACATAGATAAGGTAAGATTACAGGCAAGGTAGGAAGAGATTTGCAAGGTTCAGTAAGTTTTAAAAATATTAAATATTAAAAATTAATATAGAATGCATCTCTGCTTGATGTGCTACATAATGGAGGTATTGAAAAAACTAAATTGTGGTTTAGCCAGAAAGCAGAATTCATTAAATTGTTTTTTGCTGTATTAGATACAATACTGAGTTTGGACTAAGAGTTTAATATGTCTGAATACTGTTTTTCTTCTTATGCCATTTTATGTTTCATCAGAGTTACCTTTGTCTTCACTAAAACCTGTTTTGCTGATTTAAACTGTAACCTGAAAGTTTTAAGAAGTTTTTATCATTTTCTTTTTTTTATGTTGTATTCTGCTGCCTTACCTATCCTCTACTATCCCTCCTCCCCTCCCCTCCCATCTTCTCTCTCTACCCCATCTATTGTAATTCATTAAGTTTTTATCATTTTCATGAGACAGAGCAATGAATGAAAAGCCAACCAATGGAAATATTTGCTGGCATTAGTAAGGACAAAAAAAAAAGATAGAAAAAGAAAACAATTGAAACCGAGCATAAACAATGAAAAGGTTTCTTGACAAACAGCAATATATTGTTATTTATTCATAGTCTTGTACTTTGAATGTAGATTCTTCCTTCAGAAATCATATTAGCTTGCCCCCTACCTCCCAGTACCATCCACTCCTGCAGCCTCCTTAGTCCTTTTTGTGTTATTTTCTATTTCTTCTACTCTATTACCTCTACTGTTATGGTCACTTGAATTCAACAGCTCCATATTGCTGTCCTCTGGGATGCATTCTCTCCAACTGTGGTAGAGGCCCATGACTTTTATAAATGAAAACAATTCAAGAGTGAATCAAAACACATTGAAAACAAAGGCACATTTGGTTTGTAGTGAGATAGATTTAATTTCCAAACTCAATATTGGTCTGGAAATTTTGTTACTCCTTTGCCTCCCTCCTCTGAACTTCCTTCCATGGCACATGCTCATGCATCTCATGTTTGATTTCCACGTATCTCAGTGCCTTTTCATTTCCCTCCAAACTCAGAAAAAAATACACAAAATAAATAAAAAGATTAAAAACAACAATAAAAACACAAAAAAAACCTAATCTAGGCTCACATGGATTAAAAAGAGAATTGTTTTCTTCCAGAAAAAATTGATCACCAGCATTTCTTAGCATTTTCTTATATTTCTTGGCATTTTTATTTGAACTTTTTTCTCTCCTGAAAACTTCTCTTATTTAAGGTGGTAACTGTACTGATATAAATACAGTCATTTACTTCCACTTTTTAGTAAATAGGCTTAAAGAGTATAGTGAAATGTCAATGTGATAGCCAATTACAGGGCTGAGTGATTGGAAATTAAACTTACCTCACTACAAACCCAAATGTGCATTTGTTTTCTATGTGTTTTGATCCACTCTTGCATTGTTTTCTTTTATAAAAGTCATGGGCTCTACCAGAGTGGGAGAAAATGCATCCCAGAGACACTACAGGCTGAGTTGTAAATGGCAGAGCAGCAGTTATGTGTGGCTCAAACACAGTAAATATTCAAAGCTGTGTCAGAGATTTGGCTGTTTTGAAAGCACTAAAGATGCTATCCGGATAGAACCTGGGAACAACATATAAAATGCTATCATTCATATAGATACACATGTTAACACTATTCATGAGGAAATCCAAAACCTCAAAGTTG